TCCACGAGGCAGGCAGTGGGAGAGGCTGTGGGCAACAGAAGTCTTACCTTGTGGTGGAGCAGTTCCCTGGTCTGATTAAGGAGTCAGTTTCCCCCAAGAGGGGTCTTACAACTCTTCCCGGGTTTCGGCACCACTTGTAATGTTTATTCTCTGTAAGGTTTATTGCCGAGTTTAAAATGAGGAAACTGAGGCCTGCATGAGAACAATTAGACGCCAGTTTATTCGGCTCCCAGGCAAGGTTCTATGGTCCAGGGAAAGGAGGCCAGAGAAGTCACGCTTGATTCTTCTCAGGTGTGGGGTTATATAGGGAGGGAAGGTGCTCTGATTGGCTATGGAGAAACAGGACGTGGACGTGGCAAGCTGCTATAGGTAGGTAGGCGGGATTTCCGGTGAGTGGGCTGGACGGGGCAATGTGCTATTGGGCAGGTTTTGGCTGGGCTTCTTTTAAATTTTGGCAGGGTTTTCCAATGGCTGGCTAGGTGCTGAGTGCAGAGTTTAGTGTCGAATGCAGATCCTGGTGCTGAGTGCAGAGGGGATTTCCAATGGCAGGCTAGATGCTGAGTGCAGAGTTTAGTGTTGAGTGCAGAGGTGGGTGTGGCGGAGCTAGATGCTGAGTGCAGATTCTGGTGACATAATTTTCAGGCGTGGAGAGGGATGGGTGTGTCCAAGCTCCCGGCGAGGCAACCGTCTTACACAAACAAATGGAATAATGTCCCATGCTCGTGGATAGAAAGAATCAGTATCATTAAAATGGCCATATTGCCCAAGGCAATTTACAGATTCAATGTTATTCCTGTCAAACTACCAGTGACATTCTTCACAGAACTATAAAAAACTATTTTAAAATTCATACGGAACCAAAACAGAGCCCAAATAGCCAAGGCAATCCTAAACAAAAAGAACAAAGATAGAGGCATCACCCAACTTTAAACTGTAGTATAGGACTATCGTAACCAAACAGCATTGTACTGTACAAAAACAGGCACATAGACCAATGGAACAGAATAGAGCTCCCAGAAATTTTGCATGCCTATGACCAGTTGATCTTCAACAATGCTGACAAAAACAAAGGGGAAAAGACTCCCTATTCAGTAAAAGGTGCTGGGATAACTAGCTAGCCATATGCAGAAGATTGAAACTGGACCCCTTCCTTACACCATATACAAAAATTAACTCAAAATGGATTAGACGTAAATGTAAAACAAAAAATTATTTAAAAACAAAAAACAAAAAAACCCTAAAAGACACCTAGGCAACACCATCCTGGACATTGGAACGGGCAAAGATTTCATGACAAAGACAACAAAAGGAAAAGTCGACAAGTGTGATCTAATTAAACTTAAGAGCTTCTGCACAGCAAAGGAAACTATTGACAGAGTAAATAGACAACCCACAGAACGGGAGAAAACATTTGCAAACTAGGCATCTGACAAAGGTCTAATATCCAGCATCTATAAGGAACTTAAACAAATTTACAAGACAAAAAACAAACAACCCCATCAAAAAGTGGGCAAAGGACATCAACAGACGCTTTTCTAAAGCACACATACATGTGGCCAATAAACATATGAAAAAAAATCTCAATATCACTGGTTGTCAGAGAAATGCAAATTAAAACCAGAATGAGATACCATCTCATACCAGTCAGAATGGCTATTATTAAAATGTCAAAAAATAACAGATGCTGGTGAGATTGCAGAGAAAAGGGAACACTTATATACTATTAATGAAGTGTAATTAGTTCAACCAATGTGGAAAACGGTATGGCTATTCCTCAGAGAGCCAAATGCAGAACTACCATTTAACCCAGCAATCCTATTACTGGGTATATACCCAGAGGAATAGAAATCATTCTACATAAAGACACATGTGGCCAGGTGCAGCAGCTCAAAGCTATAATCCTAGCATTTTGAGACCAGCCTGGGCAACATGGCCAAACCCCATCTCTACCAAAAACACAAAAATTAGCCAGGTGTAGTGGTGCATGCCTGTGGTTCTAGCTACCGGGGAAGCTGAGATGGGAGGATCACCTGATCCACTGCAGTGAGCCATGATTGCGCCACTGCACTCCAGCCTGAGCAACAGAGTGACACCCTGTCTCAAAAGAAAAAAAAAAATGGATACAGCACACGTGCAGGTGAATGTTCACTGCAGCACTATTCACAATAGCAAAGACATGGAATCAACCTAAATGCCCATCACTGACAAATTGGATAAAGAAAATGTGGTATATATACATCATGAAATATTATGCAGCCATAAAAAAAACAACAAGATTGTGTATTTTGTGGGAGCATGGATGGAGCTGGAGGATGTTATCCTTAGCCAACTAAAGCAGGAACAGATAAACAAATACCACACGTTCTCACTTATGAGTGGGACCTAAATGCTGAGCACACTCATAAGCACAAAGAAGGAAACAACAGAAACTGAGGTTTTCTTGAGGGTGGAGGGTAGGAGAAGGGGGAGGAGGGGGAAAAGATAATTATTGGGTACTGGGCTTAATACCTGGGTGATGAAATAATCTGTTCAGCAAGCTCCTGTGACACAAGTTTACCTTGTGTAACAAACTTTCACATGTACCCCTGAACCTAAAATAAAGTTTTTTAAAAAAATTGCTAATGTATACATCAGTAAGAAATAAATTTACCAACTAGAGTATAATACTTATATCTAGTTCCTTTTGTCTTTGGCCTTTCAATATAAATTCAAAATCCTATTTTCCAAAGTTAAAATTACCAAGGCTAGTATTTTTCCTCCCTAACCTCTTCAGTTACATTGCTATTGTTAAGTAGAGTTCATTTGTAACAGCATTCCATTTTTAGTTGCCCCCACCACTGCCACATTTTCATTGAGAAGATAAATTTTTGCGTTATATTAGGTAAGAGGACTTTTTGCAATTGTTGTTGTTAGGATACTCAAGTATGAGAAAAAGAATTAATATGTACGTATGTATGTATGTTACATAGCCACAGAGTGATCCTTAAAAGCTGTTAACATTGCCTAACTCAGTACTCATTTTAACACCCTCTAGTATGCTTTTCTGTGATATAGGCTAGGAAGCTAAAATTAGAATTCCCAGATTCCCTGAAGTAAGGGTTTCATCTGTGACCTATGTTCTGCTAAGCAAATGTGGCTACAGGAAACTTAGGTGAATTATAGAATAAAGGTAATGAATGTATAGGGAAGACCGGGTCTTCTGGAAAAGCTGAGTCAGAGATTCTGGTATCTAGTCTCCCACATCATGGATGCTGAGTTGCACGCAGTGGGATTACTGCTAGAATAAGCCCAAGGTATTTTCCATGGGTCTGGCATTTCTGAACATCTTGGACTATCTTTTCAAGGATATTTGAATAGCAAATAGACTTGAGATCTAGAGATAAATCTCTATCTCTGGGCAAAAAAGCAGAGAGGGGAAATGGGCTGGTCATCTGAAGCCTTATATATAACATCATAGTTTCCTAATTTTGGGGTTCCTCTCTTGAAATGTACCCACTGAATGTGCAGGCACAGTTTGTCCCTCATTGCATCTCCCTTGTAGCTTTTGGAACTGGCAAAAGATATTGTTCTGGCTTTGGCTATTATTAATATATTCCCTTGTCTCTGACCACAGGTCTTGATTTTTGTAGTGGGCACACACACATTGCAAAAAGGTTGGGTTGTTAGGTTGCAAGTAGGGTAAAATCTGAGACCTTTAACAGTATGTCTTAAAAAGTGAGTTATCCATATCCCCTGGACATGTTGTATCCAGATGTATAGTATCCCATCCTGGTTTCCCGCTCCTCCCAGAAGCTCTAATACCATGTAGTGTCTTTTTTCTTAAATTAGCTTTAGTGGATTCCATTGTCTGCAACTAACAGCTATCATAATAGAAGCAAGAATTTTGACCACCCATTGATCTATGCTTTGGGTTAGATGATAGAGATAGAAGACCCAGTCAATGTATAGCTAAGAGATAAGTTCAAGGCAGCTTATACATTCGATAAAAACATAAATAAATTAGAAACTAGAAGGCAAGTTACACTTGAATAAAGTGCATGCAGAAGATGGGACAGAAAAAACTCTCAGATCCATCAGAAATATTTACTTTTTGAGACAGGGTCTTGCTTTGTCACCCAGGCTGGAGTTCAGTGGCACCATCATGGCTCAATACAGCCTCAATCTCCAAGGCTCAGGTGATCCTCCCACCTCAGCCTCCCAAGTAGCTGAGACTAAAGGCATGAGCCATCATGCCCAGCTAATTTTTTTGTAGAGACAAAAGGGTTTCTTTCATATGTGACCTAGGTTCTGTTAAGCAAATGGCCATGTGCTTTCACATGCTTCAATCTTTATGGCAGGTGCCTGGTCCTATGGACATTTTAACTTGAGACTCCAGCTTAAAGATTTGGAGGCTACACTTCCAAAAGAAAAAGTAGTATTAATGATAGGCATGACACCCAGTCTATGTAGCACTAGCTCCTAAAAGTGGAGGGCTAGAAATTGATCCAGTGGCTATAGCAACTTATGAAGGACAGTGATGCTTAGGAAAATGTTCCATGGGTGCATTAAACATTTAATGCATGAGAATTGGTGTTTCTGGAGGAGACCTAGCAGAAGTGTGCAAGTAATACTGTAAGAAAATAATTTTTAAGGTATCTTTTTTATGCCTTCTCCTCAAACACTTCTTGAGGAGAGACTAGATGGGGTTGTTTTTTCAGGAACAGCAAGGATTTTACCAAGGAGAGAATATAATTGGAAGACTCAGCTTTCCCCTCCCACGTCTGCTCCCCTTGAGGATGGTGGAAAGTGTTTTAAGAGATTCTGGTTCCAAGCAAAAGTGAAGTGAGCAGTTGCTCATAGCAAAGAAAGAAGCACATCATCCATACAGGATAGCAACATTGTAGACTAGACACAAACTCCCTCTTTCCAAAAATAGCAGTGGGGAAAATAACCTTGAAAGGGAGAAGCTAACAAGTGAGTGGCAGAGTTCAATTCAAGAAAAGAATCTCAGAGAACTCAGGTGGGTTCTTGTGTTTCCAGTTTATTTAACAGAAAAGAGATTGGCCAATTGCGGTTTTGATGCCTGCCTTGCCCCAGGATGAGGCGGCACCCATCGTGTTACTTAGAAGAGAAGACAAGGGTTTTCCCTGGTTTCTGACACCACCAGGGCTTAGGCTCCTTGATCCACAGCAGAGTTTTCTGGATTTTCTTTTTTTAGAGAGAGAGGACTTGTTTGAGGGGTTGTTGAGTTGACATAGGAATGGTTTCCATAGATGGGAACAAAGCGGTTGTCAAAAGCTGGAGAAGTGTGTTCCGGGAGCTGGATGATAGGGCTGGAGGGCAGCAGCATCCTGTTTTCAGCTTCCATCTGAAGACCCAAGTTACCCATCTTGGGGTGAATGCCCACCTCAGAAGTCAAATTCTCCCCTTTTAGAGGCATAGTCTGCCCTTCAGGGGTGACTGATACCTTTCTGGAGGGGACAGTCACCTTTTCAAGGGCCACAGCCTTCGTTCTAGGGGCCATTGCATTCTCTCTAAGGGTCTCAGTCTGAAAATGAACAGGGGTCATAGTCATTTCTCCAGGGTTCATGGACTGATGACTCACCAGGGTCACAGATTGATGAACCACAGGGGTCAGGGTCTTCTCCCCAGGGGTCATGGACTGATAACCCACAGGGGTCAGGGTCTTCTTCCCAGAGGGCTCATACTGATGACCCACAGGGGTCAGGGCCTTCTCTCCGGGGGTCATGAACTGATGACCCACAGAACTCATGGTCTTTGCCCCGGGGATCTCAGTCTGCTCTCCTAGAGCTACAATGTGCTTTCCAAGGGATACAGTTTCCTTTGTAAGGGTCACAGTTGTGCCTCTAGGGCTTATAGTCATATTTTCATACTTTCCATGGATCTCAGTGACCTCAGCCTCTCCTCCTGGAGGCAAAATCTTAATATCAGTGGTCGATGCCTTGGTCACAGCCAGCCTTGAAGTGCTTGAAGGGTCAGTGCTTGAAGAATTCACAGTGGATGACAGCCAAAATTGTGGTAAAGAAGTTGAATTGAACACTAGAGAAAATCAACAGAAAAGAATGAGATTCCTACCACTTCATTCCCATCCTATTAGTTACTGGCAGAACTAGAACCTCTCCAGTGCTGAAGTACCTGCACCAAAATTCAGAAGTGTAAGATTTCACACTATACCTCCTTGAGGACATAGAGGAAATCCCACCACACAGAAGGTCTGGTCCATACCCCGTCATGTTCACAAGGTCCCGAACACCCACAGGCACTCAGTAGATTTACTACATTTCCCATGAATAACCCCAGAAAGAAGCCCATTCCCTGTGCTTAAGTCCTCACTTTGACATCTCTGATTGCACCATCAGTAAAACCTTGCCCTCAAGGCCTAATTCTAAAGAATTACTTGATGAATGTTCAAGAAGCTTCTTCTGTCTCTGTATTGCAGGAACAAAGCCAGGGGCCAGGAGGCTGGAGACAGCATGCTGTGAACAGTGGGACTGGGACTCACCTAAAAATTTGACCTGACTGAGATCCAGTCTCGTTACCCATAGAATGAAGATTATAAACCATATATATGCATGCTTCACCTCTTGCACACTAGGTTTCATCTCCTAATTGCCAGGGAAGAGATATCAAAGGAAACCTAATTCCTTTAGCCCTTGACCATGAGAGCAGAGGAAAGAGAGAAATAGACTAACATATATTGAGTGCTAAGACAATTTTTCATTCCATAGCTCACTTAGTTCTTATAATAATGTCATGAGTGTACAGATTATTCTCATTTTAGATGGAACAAAGGAAGCTCAAAGAGGCCAAATAAGGGCCAAGTATCCAAAGACTGGAAAACATATTGGCCTGGCAAAGCTTTTTCTGTCCCCTCAATGTCATCATGTTGACTCACCAAGGCATTTAGATCTAGCAGAATAGACTCACCCAGTGCCTGGTTATGCAACTTCCAACCCCAGCTTCCAGGTCACAGTTACTTACCAGCCCTCACCAGGATATCATTCAATACGTAGACAAGGGGGAAAGGACCAGTGCCACAGAAAGTGCCCCTGACGTCATCCATGTCCAATGTCCACACCATGGCCCCCCCAAAATGCTCTCGCTTTATAAACCATGCCTGTAAAAGTAAAAGTCAGTCAACCCGCTGTCCTTGTCACCCTCCAGACTGGGTACAATGGCCAACAACTGAACATAGCCCCTGAGGAAGCAATGTAGCAGGGTGGTTAAGAGTGTAGTCTTCCTTTGAATCTAGCTTTTACTGCTTATTATCTATGAGATCTTGAAAAAGTTACATAACCCTTATGTGTCTTAATCTGTTTAAAAAAAAAGAATAATAACATGTCCAACATTTTTAGACTCAAAAGATTCTTACATGCACATACTACAATATGGATGAAGTATGAAGACACTATGCTAAGTGAAATAAGTCAGATACAAAATAATGAACACTGACTGATTTCACATATATGTTGTACCTAGAGTAGTCAAATTCCCAGAAACAGAAAGTGGAATGATGGGGGAAGGAGGAATGGGAAGTTGCTGTTTAATGGGCACAGGGTTTTCATTCAAGATGAAAAGCTTCTGGTGATGGATGGCGGTGATAATTACACATGAATGCATTAAAGCCACTGAATTTCAGACTTTAAAGTGGTTAAAATGGTAAACCTTATGTTCTATGTTATATAGGAATGCTACATACGTTTTCCTAAAGAGTTCCTGTGCGTATTTGGATCAATACCTGGCACACAGTGAATCTTCAGTAAATGTTAGCTACTATCCCTCTGGGTTTCCCACCTCACTAATCACCATTATTATCATATTAAACTGTAGATATTGCTCTACTATTTAAAATTTATTTCCTTATCTCACAGTGATGCTATAAAATATAGTAGAGCACAAAATATTGTACTCTTCTCACAGCTAAGAAAATAAAGACTTTCATCCACACTTTTTAAAACCTCCACTATAACTAAATGGCAGAGCTTAGACTCAAATCCAGGTCCTACTATTACCTTACCAGTGCTCTCTATCAAGTCTGATGGAAAAGACAGACTCCATCAGGTCCAAATAGCTGTGTGCCTTAGCCAAGTCAATTAGCTAATTTCAGGGGTTGATTTTCCCCAAATATAAAAGAAGAAGGAGGAATCCAATCGTTAAATCTGAAACTGTGAAGTTTCTGAGATGTTTATTCTACTTATAAGCTAACTAATTAGCCTGCCAGTTTTGTGTATGTACACACACACACACACACACACACACACCCCACCCTAGACCTCTGTATCAGAGGACAGAATGTTAATTATTCACAGAAAAACAAAACAAAACAAAAATAGCCAGAATAACACCTTGAGTCAGTTTCCATGTCCCAATTACCCAAAAGACAATGTGAGGAAAGTCAGATGTTCAATTCACCTGCATATGCAGTGGGGTCTGTGCTGCAGAGAACAACCTGAAATTATGAGACTCAGAGCTTATATAGGATGGTTGACATATGTGGCCCTCCTCCCCTCCAGAGAGAGGAGAGAACTTGGAATGTAAACAAGTCCTCCCTGGGAAGGGGACTTTCGCAATCATTGAAGGTAGGCAAATGGTTCTGGGGGAAAGAGGAAGGCAGCTCTCTATTTTTAGTTTAGCTTGTCTGCTTCCTTTGCCCTCTCTATGTCCTATGGGTCACAGATTTAATTCCATCCAACTGAATAAATCCACTGAGTCATTGATCCTTCCTGTTTGTGTCTTCCCATTCCCAAACCACAGAGCAAGATCCCAGAGGGGAGAAGCCACGCTCTTTTACCTGTCTCCTCCCCGGCAGGCCTCACTCAGTATTAATGCACAGAAGAGCCACACAGTGAATCTTCATGAGTGCCTCCCTCTCTGGTGCTTCCCACACAAACTTCACCCAAAGAACAGCCAACACCTGCCATTTCTGCATCACCGGTAATAGGAGAACTGGGAATTCTCTCTGTTTAAGTCTCAATATCCAAGCAACATTCTGGCAATTTCTCACCTGTAAATTGCTGCTCCTTCCAACTACCCTAGTCCAGACACCCATTATCTCATGCTTGGACACCTCTGTGTCCCTCCAGGGCTCCCAAAATGCCAACCTGGAAGGAGGCATTCTAAAACAGTTTCCAAAGTTTTTCTAAGACCTAATGAATATTCAGGAGTGAAACCAAGATTTCTACATGTGTCTAGTCTTTCAGGTGATTCCAAAGCAGAGGCAGGTCTAGGAAGTGCTGCAGCATGTCAGTTCTCTTTTAGTTCACTGTAAAAACCTGCCAGATTCAACTTCATAAAACACCACTTACATGAAGGAAGGGTTTTAGTTTGGTTCTAAAAGTTTGAAAGTTAGAGGTCATCCACCTGTAGAAACATGATTCTGCCTTAAAATGTCTGCAGGATGAAGACCAAACACCTTTACCAGCACTCAAGTCCCTTTATAAAAAGCCTCTGGTTCACCCAAATTCTTTTTTGAATCTGCTATAAGCTTTCTACACCACTGAGCCTTTCCCGCATGTCATCATCTTCTCCTACTCCTGCTCACCTCCCTCAGGAAGCCCTCCCAGACTTCCTCATTTCTGCTGCATGTCACTAATATTTGTGGAGCACTTACCATGATCTACCTTGTGTTGGTTTTTATCTGCTAGGAAACTAGCTGGTCCAAATGGAAAAGAAGAAACCAAAAAGATCATCAAAAACCTGTATGAACTGAGAGAATTATTTATTCCCTCAGATCCTAGATTTCTTCTCTTCAGAATAGAGACTTGGAACAGATGGGATTGTGAAACCCCAGTTGGAACCAAAATGTAGGCATGCCTGAAACTCCCCTGGTCTAATCATTCTCACCTTTCACCCTCCACCCAATACACATGCATGCATTGTACAAACAAGGGCCCCATGGAAGCCAGTAGGAAACCATGTGCTGGAGCACGAAAGAGCCAGGGTCTCACCTTGTAACTGAAGCTGATGGCATCATCATAGCCAACCCACTCCTCCCCTTTGTTGGCATATGGGACATACTGATAATCAATCCAGTGCTTTTTCGCTCCCCAGACAAAGGAGCAAATCTGCCAAGAGGACCGTCAGGTTAGTTCTGGGAAGTGCCACAGGGGCAAGCACCAGGAGACAGTTGTTCCTTGCCCAAGGATAAAGAGCCCAGGAATCCCTAACCAGTGGATGAGAAAAAGGTAAACCAAAGAGAGAAGAATGGAGAGGCCATTCATGAAGGAGCTCCTATTTTGAATAAATTTTTACTGTTACCCATTCCTTCCTCTACTGTCCATGATGGAAAAAAGAGAACCAAGGAGTGGATGACATGCAAGTACCAAAATAGTAAGAGTGACACACCTCATCCTTGACCAAATCTGTATCTCATTCAAAGTGTTTTCATAAACAAGCCTCTCCTGTTCATTAGATCCTAGCACAAACTGCCTCATATAGGTAGTTATCAAACTGGCACCTCAACTTCTAGCAGATTTAAAGTTCTTGAAGGCCGGGAGAAGTAGGCTGCTATAATCAATTAAGCATTAGAGTGTCTACTGGGTGCCTAGCATTGTGCTAGAAACTATATGCTGCAAAAAAAACAGAAGTATGCAAGCTGTGCTGCAGAAGTTAATGTCTAAGTCATTCCTTTTTTCTTCTGGTGCTTTGAAGCGTCTGTCTATCAAAGCTTCTTTGGCCCCAAATGCCCTTGAAGAACATTGTTTCAACTATGCCATCATTCATAAAAATGCTTCATTGGATTAGCAGAAAAACGCCCTCATCCATCCAGCGCAGAGCAGAGACTGGAGAGACGTGCAGCACCTCCACTATTGCCTAAAGCAGGGCTGCAGCTATCCATCAGGCACTTCCTACCACCCTGTGCCTCTGTACCTGCTGTCCTTTACTTGGGAAGTCCTTCCCGTCTAGTCATTCCTGTCCATCAGGATTTTCCTGTGCTTTCAAACTGCTCAAAATCTACCTGCTCCGTAAGACCTTTCCAGGTCACTACAACCACACACTGATGTGGCTCGTGTTGTCACCTCTGGTGGTTACACTCCCTTGGAAGCATGTCTCTTTCTGCCACTCAGTAGCAAACTCGGTTGTGATGAGGATGAAGAGGGTGGAGCTGGAGTAGAAAGAAAGAACCTCTAGTAGAGAATGTCTTGGAATTCCTTCAAAATAATCTAGTAGTAGGGAGGGAGGAAGTCGGAGAGCAGAGATGAGACAAAATTGGCCATGAATGATTAATGATTGAAGCTGAGTGAGTAGAATGTCAGGGAGGTACAGAGGCTGTACTACTCTTTTACTTTTATATATGTTTGAAATTATATATATTACAAATATTAATGATTTTTATTTAGGCCATATAGAAAGTCAGGGTTTACCTGTATAGCATTCAAGATCCTTTTTTGGGGTACAGTGAAAACCTTCCATCCAGATTCCACCAAGCCCTTCATCCCTTACACAGGACTCAAATAACTTACCCCAAAGAAAAAGAAAATATCCCACACAGTGGATTTCCCTTGTCCTCATAGACTACCTCTTTGCCCTGTCTACAGCTCTCACCCTTGCCATTGCCCCTTATCCTGGCCTTTGCTCCAGATGAGGGTGGGAGAGTCCTAACTGGGAGAGCCTCAGACAGAGGCTGCTATTTCCATTACCTCATAATAAGCCAATAAGCCTGCTTGCTTCGTGTACTTCCCTGGAGATGCTGGTCCCATCGCTCTGGCCTGCAACCCACTGTTAGAGGCTTTGAGGAGGCGAAAGGTACGTCCATAGGTGGGGATCCCCATCATGAGTTTCTCTGAGGGCGCCCCAAGCTTTCTCCAGTAATTCATAGCATATGCCTGCAGGTAGGAAGAATCCAGACCTCTCCTTGTTACTAAGAGCCAATGGCCTGAGCTCAGGGGCAGATGTCTGGGCCACCTGAGATCTTTCCTTTTCTTACCGAAGATTTGGGATCTTCAGGCAGAGAGAACAGGGGGCTGTTATGTCCTGTGAACCTTTCCCAACTTCCATGTAAGTCATAAGACAAGACATTGATGAAATCCAGGAATCTGCAAGGGGCAGCAGGAAGAGATATAAAGACTGGGCCAGCCAGATTTTCAAGTCAGATCATCACAGCGCTGTTTAGCTAACTAGCTAGACATTGGTCACCAGAGCTTCCCTGCTCCTTCTGCCTGTGGGCCCTGCCCAGGCTGTTCTGTCCACCTGCCACTGGAACAAACGGCTGGTTAGGAATAGCTGTCCGTGAAGATCTATGCATCCTGAGAATATCTGTGGAGGTAGGCAGGAGTTAGATGAGAGAAAATACACTCAGGCCTGATACAAATGCTAACAGACGTCTGAACAAACAGTCATGAGTAAAAGCAGTCTGTCCCATAGCTTGTCTTTCTACCATTCCAAGCACCATTGAAACCTACCTCCTCTAGAAAGATTTCATCATTACCAGCTCACAGGGATAAGGGCTTATACTGCTGATCTAATTTAATTCCAATCTGGCTAATTCCCTAAGTACCATAACTATCTCCATTTTAAAGTTGAAGAAATTGAAACTCAGAATAATTAACTAATTTGCCTAAAGTTGCCCAGCTGGGTGAAGGCAGGACTCTCTCAATCCTGCCTGGCTAAAAGATCAACACTAACAAACTCCATGTCCCCTGCATCTCTCATTTTCCTCCCACACTGAAACCACTCTCGAGTGCAACCACACAGGAACATCCCATTTCTCTTTTGGTCTACATCTGACTCAGTTTCCTCTTTTGTAAATCCTTGATTCTCAAAGTTCTAAAAAATATACCCAGAGGCAGGGCACAGTGGCTCACACCTGCAATCCCAAAACTTTAGGAGGCCAAAGTGGGCAGATCACAAGGTCAAGAGGTCGAGACCATCCTGGCCAAAATGATGAAACCCTGTCTCTACTAAAAATACAAAAAAAAAAATTAGCTGGGCATGGTGGCACGTGCCTGTAATCCTAGCTACTCAGGAGGCTGAGACAGGAGAATTGCCTGAACCCAGGAGGCGGAGGTTGCGGTGAGCCGAGATTGCGCCATTGCACTCCAGCCTGGGTAACAAGAGCAAAACTCCGTCTCAAAAAAAAAAAAAAAAAAAATTAGCTGGGCATGGTGGTACGCACTGTAGTCCCAGCTACTCCTGAGGCTGAGGCAGGAGAATTGCTTGAACCCGGGAGGCGGAGGTTGCAGTGAGCCGAGATCGCGCCACTGCACTCCAGCCTGGCGCCTGGTGACAAAGCGAGACTCTGTCTCAAAAACAAAACAAAACAAACAAACAACAACAGCAACAAATATATATATATATATATATAGCTAGAGCTGACATGTCCAAAAACACTTATGTCCTGTTCTTTGTCTAGCTTTTGAACTTTTGCATGGAGAACTGCCCTGAATACTGGGTGTGGCTGGGCATTCCTACTTTTGTTTCTGTGACAGTGGTTGTTAAATCATCTGTCTCCGATGCCAGCATCTGCTGCAGAGCTTATGTCTACAGCTGTATTCTAAATAGAAAGAGGCCAGGCCCCTGGGATTCTCTCCTCGTAAGACCCAGCAATAGGCTGCGCAGAAGATTCTACCCATGCTAACATTGTTGTGGGCAGGTCTAAAGAAACCCCAGGGTATAAAGGAGCTAGCCCTTGTCTCCATCCATGCCCCTCAGCCCAGCCCCAAACTTGCACTGACATCGGGGCAGGCACATGGTGAGCTCAAAAACAGTGCTTGGGAAGCTCTGGGGTTCTGAGCTCAAGACACCTGCTTCCCTCCAATGTCCTGCCCCACCAAGGCAATATCCACTCACCTTCCCAGAAAGCGCACTTCATAGGGTGTTTGGACGATGTGTGGGACCCCAGAAATAGCAGCAGACAGTAGCAGCCTCGGGCGCATGGTGAGCAGTGCCTCCTTCTGGAAGGCAAACAGGAGCTCCTAGGAGGAAAGACAGAAAGACAGAGAAGTGGACAAACAGAGAGACAGGGGCTGTGGGGGAGTATCATCCAGGAAGCATTTACTGAGCCCCTGAGCCAGACTTGGGGACACGAAGGTGAGTTGGACATGGGCCCTGCCACAGGCTCGTGAGAAGGGCAGATGAGGGCTGATGCGGTGAATGATTTAATTGAGGGGTAGGGAGCAGGCACAGGAGCACAGAATTCGGACAGACACTGCCTGAGGGAGTGCAGGAAGCTGCACAGAGAAGGCATCCCTTAGGCTGGAGGGCAGGAGCAAGCCACAGGTGCAGAGAAAAGAGTAACCTCAGGTGTTACAGGTATTGCCCTCCAGTGTCTCACAGTAAAAGAACATTCTGTCACCCTCTTCTGCCCCTGCCCCTGCCCCTGGACCCATGTTCCTCTCCTGCCTCTAAAAGTAGAATAATTTCTTGATTCTGGCACTTCCAGACCGGACTTACTTTAATTAGGAAGAGAAAAGTCCACCGGTCATGCCTGGGACTGCCTCTTAGCCCAGGATACAAGAAGAAAAGGTCAAGGCCATCAAAGTTATGTGTCCTCAGAAGGGATATAACTGAAGCAATAAACTTTCCACGGTTGGCAAATGTGGACAACATAGTGGTGAACCTGCAGGGAGACCAGGCGTAAGGCAAAGAACACTATCCACAGAATCACAGCCTCCTACAAGGCCCCTCGCAAGCTTGGCACCCTGTGGTGGGCATGGCAGATGCGGCTGGAGGAAAGGAAGGCAGTTCTCCGAAATTCTCCCACCTCTGACACGCCTCTCCCAGCACCAGAAGCTTGATACCCAGGAGTGGGGAATTCAGGCAGCTAAAATAAGTTGACAACCATGTGCTGCCCAAGGCCAGGTGGCACAGGGAACAGCAGGCACAGAGCCAAGCAGTAGCCTGGGGTGGGGAGAACTGGCTTAGTCCAGCTCTGTGCCCTAAAACATGGTATGCTCACTGGCAAGGCACTGTGCCACTCTGTGCTTTCATCATAGGTAGCTACTCGATTCCCTCGACCTATCCTAGTTCTGACATTTTCTACCGGACTGGATTAAGGCAGAGAACATGATCCAAGGGCCAGCATGTCCAGAAAGACCTATGAGTTAATCCGGGCCTGGGCTGTATAACTTGGCACAAGAGGCCTGCGCTCTGACAGGGGGCTCCTGATCCTGTGTTATTTTGTTCGCTTGCTTGTTTGACAGTTTTCTATTTTACATTGTTTTCTCTTCCGTAGTGACAACACTTTGGAAACATTCTAACTTATTGGAGCTGAACTTTAAGCAACTCTAGGGTAGTCCTGAGCCATGATTAGAAAATTAACCAGACTCACAAACAGACCTGGTTTCCGTGGTCAGTTTGCCACCTCCAAGCTGGGCAGTCTCTGAGGAATACCTGGGACAAATCTGGCAAGTTTCTGAATACCTGTGACTTGCGCTTTCTGTTGTACCAATTCGGAATACAACCACTTTGTAAGTTTCCTCCAAGTGTTCACTGGGTAATGCATGCACAGCCCTAGCCCAGCGTCTAGAACACAGGGAGTGTTCAGAGAAGGGAAGAGGCAAAGCCTGGGACTGAGCAGAGCTGCTTCTCACCCCTCTGCCCTAAATCCTTCCTCCATCTTGCAAAGTGCATTCTCACACACTCCCAGGTCACCAGGCGTCCCTCTCCTGCATCTCATGCCTCTAAAGCAACAAGGCAAGCATGGCCTGTACCCCAATCCTCAGCCATGAAGTAGGGGAAACGTTTCTTCAGAAAATATACAGGCAGTTTGTCAGCTCCACGTTGCCTCATGGAGATTGAAGTGCTAACAAGAGCAGCTGCTACATACTGAACGTGTACTATGTGCTGGGCACTAAGCTTAGCATTTTGTTATTTCCTTTCCCCCGATCCAGACCTTTAAGGTTGACATCCCTGGATCCGTTAATAAAGTGAAGAAACCCGTGAGGTTGGGAGTTATTCTCGTCCTGTACATTTTTCCTTCCCTTGGAGACAAAACCCTTGCCTCTCAGGAAAGATTGAGGAGGCAATTGTGAGTGCCTCATTTTGTCTCTAATTTCCCCCAGCCCCTTTCTTACCACCTGCTAGAACTTCCTTGTCTCCCCTGACCCACCATGGATACGAGGCCAGGATGTCCCTTGAGTGCAGGAGTCTAGGATTCACGACAGGGAAGTGCTTGTGCTAGCTTCGCTGTCCCTGTGGCCAAGCTGGCTTCCCCTCTTGTCTTCACGTCTAGCCAGCCTGCTCCACTCTCCCAGGGAGAAGACAATAAGAGCAAAGTCTCACCTTAAGGTGTCAAAATCCCACCCGCCGATGGACAGCAGTGTTTTCAGCTCTCTGTTCCTATGATGTGGAAGAGAGGGTTGATAAGCTGGGTCCTCCACTCCAGTGGGCAGCTGCTGCTACATTCTTTTGTTTTGCTCATTGGAAGAAAAACAGGACACAGGAGAGATGGGAGGTAAGGGAAGGAAAAGGGAGAAGGTGATAGAGGGAGAGAGACAAGCTTACGAGAGAGGAAGAAAGAGAAGAGAACAATCAACCCAAGGGCCATCACAACCCACCAACTCCAAGGCTGCACAAAGTCTGCCAGACTCGCCCAAGTCCCCATGATGCTTCTGAAAAAGAATCTAAAATGTTTCTCTTTACTAACTTTCCTATTCAACAAATATTTATTGAGCAATGTCTATGTGCCATTGACTGTTTTAGGCACTTTAGAACAGAGAACACCACAGATAAGCTCCCCACTCTCAGAGAGCTTGTAATCTAGTGGCATAGAACTTTTGCCCTGCTTATCTATAACTATTAACGGAATAACAAACCTTCCCTTGGGCAGGGAACGATCCCAGGAGTTCTAGAGAGAGGAAAATGTAAGCAAACACTGAGCACCAACCCAGTATGAGACACTGACCTAGCACTTGGGATACAACGACACAGCAGACACTACCTCTTCCCTGGAGTAGTTCACAGGTGACAAATGGTAATAAAAACCCGAGCATTTGCTGAGCATCTGGGATGTGTAGGCTCACTTTAACAGCATCAACACCTGAAATCCTCACAACTAGGTTCAGTGGCTGAGTTGGAGTTTGCCAGGCAGAGAAGAGAGAGAAGCACATTCCAGGCAGAGGCAACAGCAACTACAGAAGCAAGGAGGCGGAAAGAGCTCAAGGTGTCTGTGACAGGGAGTTCTCAAGTCCGGGATGCTCTGGACCCTTATTTGAGAGGAAGCTAGGACTGGAATAGAGGAAGGTTGAAGAGTAACAGGAGAAATAGGCTATTATCTTATACCTGTGAAATCTGAAAATACAACTCCCACATCGAATATGAACAAACCTCTCCTTTAGTTTGTTGAACTCTGGATAGAGAATGTTCTCATCCTGGAGATCCTTAGCAACAATCTGATTGTTGTTCATCGAGGCAAAGGCAAATATCAGGTGGGTGCAGAGAAAGGGGTTCAGGTCATGGGGCAAGATGGAGGCGGGGCCTGGCCGACTGTGTGCCCAGCTGGTGAAATAACACACCAGTTTGTAGGCAGCACCTGGTAAGGAAGAGCACACATTAATTGGCGAGACCAAGGGAACAGGTAGAGCTCAGCTTCCAGAAAACAATGTGAACACAGCCCAAGAGGCGAGGCCACATTTTAACACCCTCTCTCCCCCGCCCCAATGTACACCTCAAAACTACACTGAGGTTTTATTCCTCCCCAACTGCTGAGGTCTCAGGAAGAAAAAAATGCCCTGTGAAATCCTGGTCAGAACGGATTCTCAGATCTGGACCAAGGCACACAGTCAGTGGCACAAACAACAGGTGACCAAAAAATCCTCTGAGGAACTGTGTTGGATCAATAATCCCTGACAGAGGAGCCAGGGCAAAGGGGGCTGCAGGGGGCGCTCAATGCGGAGGACTTCTCAGCTAGAGACTCTCCTGGGCTCTGAAAGGGAAAACAGTTTCCTTACCATCGTGGTGTGTCAGCACAAGAACCAACCCTGCAGGAAACAAAGGGAGGAGTCACACAGATTCATACGCTCGCCAGAGTGGCATGCCACGGCACACCCTCTGGTCAGCAAGGGCGCCCACCAACACAGTACCTTATGCAGACGCAGACGCACACATGGAGACAGACACCACTCACTCGCTTCCTAGTCTCTAAAGTTGGCCCAGCGGAGCTAGATGTAAGTTCCTTTTCTCTCTAATAAACACGTGTATATGCTCATGCTTTGCACAGGGACAACAGTGAGTGTTAGAAGTCCCAGAAAAAGCTTGAGGCCAGTGGTTCTCAACCCTGGCTGCAAATTAAGAATGACTAATATACTGGCTGGTCACACAGAGATTCCGATTGAACTGGTCCAAGGTGAAACTCAGGCATTTAAAATTTCTAATGTGCCACCGGGTTTGAGAACCACTATTCTGACCACGTCTCCCTGGGTCCCTCTGACTGTTCACTATGGCCCATCCCATCTCTACCTAATCCAGGCCCCCTGAGTCCCAGGCTGCTCTCTCAGCACCAGAGAGATGACAAACTCATAAAGTCTGGCACCTCCTGGACTGAGTGACACTGCTGGGACCTGCCACACTCACCAACCCATAGCAACAGCCTCCACATCTCCATGGTCTGACAGCTGTGAGGCCAGAGATGGAGCCCTTTATAGGAACCTCCCTGTGGATAGCGCTGGGACAGCCCAGCTACACACACACACACACACACACACACACACACACACACACACTCTATCACCAGGATGAATAATTTATGAATGTCATAGTGACCCCAGAACCACATGTCCTCCCTCTCCAACAAAGCAATAGCTCCAGGCTGGCACTGAATACCAGGAAGAGGTTCTTCCTGGTATTCAGTACCACATGGACTGAATATGGGAAAGAAACCCCATTTGATAGCAGCAATTCTATTATTAAAGGATTATTGGTTGGGAAGCAGTATAATTTAAAAACATTTTTAAAACCCCAGCTTTGGATTCAGGTTTTGAATCCAAGGTTTGTATTCAAAGTTTGAATCTCAGTGTCACCACTTAGAAGTTTTGTAATCTTGCGCAAGTTACTTTGCTTCTGTGAGCTTCAATTCTCACACTTGAAAAATGGAGAAGACAGCTCAGACTTACCTCATTGAGCTTTATAGAGATTAAAGAGATAATGGATCAAAAATTGTTAGTTTTGTGCTTGCAGATAATAAGGGCTCAATGAATGGTAGCTATTATTAGGGACGTCAAGAGGGTTGCCCAGCAGAGCAGAGTTCTCAAACTCAAATGACACTCACCAGGCAGGCAATGTAAATGGATGGAGTAGATACAATAAAATAGCTCTCTCCATTTTACCAGAAAAGTAGCAGTTCATGCCCAGTGATACACATCAGCTGACATGAAGCCTCTAGGTCAGGAGACAACAGAGATGAAAAGGGACGGCACACTGAGCAGCTGCTAATGGTTGCCCTGTAGAGAAATAGACCCAGCGTTGCTGGATCTTTCAGTTTCTCAGGAGAAGACAACACCTGAATTTTTGAGTCAACAATATTTGAGTCAGTATATGAGCCAACTGTGAGGATGTGTCATGAACCTCAAGAATATGATGGATAAGAACCAGTTTTTTAAATTCTGGACAAGAATCGGTTTTTAAAAAACGCAACAACAGAAGAGTGAACAGACACTTTACAAAAGAAGACGTATATGAGGCCAACAAACATACGAAAAAATGCTCATCATCACTGGTCATTAGAGAAATGCAAATCAAAACTACACTGAGGTACCATCTCACACCAGTTAGAATGGTGATCATTAAAAAATCTGGAGACAACAGATGCTGGAGAGGGTATGGAGAAATAGGAACACTTTTACACTGTTGGTGGGAGTGTAAATTAGTTCAACCATTGTGGATGACAGTGTGGTGATTCCTCAAAGGACTAGAAATAGAAATTCCATTTGACCCAGCAATCCCATTACTGGGTATATACCCAAAGGATTATAAATCGTTCTGTTATAAGGACACATGCACACGAATGTTCATTGCAGCACTGTTTACAATAGCAAAGACTTGGAACCAACCCAAATGCCCATCGACGATAGGCTGGACAGGGAAAATGTGGCACATATACACCATGGAATACTATGCAGCCATCAAAAACGATGAGTTCATGTCCTTTGTAGGGACATGGATGAACCTGGAAACCATCATTCTCAGCAAACTGACACAAGAACAGAAAATCAAACACCGCATGTTCTCACTCATAGGTGAGTGTTGAACAGTGAGAACACATGGACGCAGGGAGGGGAGCATCACACACTGGGGTCTGTCAGGGGCAACTAGGGGAGGGACAGCAGGGGGTGGGGAGTTGGGGAGGGATAACATAGGGAGAAATGTCAGATATAGGTGATGGGGAGGAAGGCAGCAAACCACATTGCCATGTATGTACCTATGCAACAATCTTACATGTTGTTCACATATACCCCAAAATCTAAAATGCAATAAAATATATATTTTTTAAAAAAGGAGAATGAAAGATAAAATAGGACTACAAGCCAGATACTTTTTATAATTCATCAGTTTTCTTTTTCTGCTACAGAGGGTCTCAGACCCTATGTCCATCCTCACAGAGACTGATGCTGTTCATGTAATCCACATGAACTACCACGAGGTATTAACCAGATGTTAATGCACAACACAGGGAAATAATGACTAGTGGTCAAATTCATGTAACATCTATCCTTCATTTCTAGTATGAAGAAACCAGGAAAGTCATTGTTTCAAATCAGCAGTTTGCTTGGATATGGTGGAATAAAAACAACAAATAGTATGAAATGTTTGGGGTATTTCACTGAAACTCTGGGACAGCCTGATGGAATACCCCACCCAACAGTGACTACATCTCCTTTTCTTCATGTATTCAACAAACATTCACTGAGCATGTGCCACGCCCTGCTGGGCACTTGAGAGGGTGTCTGCTTTCAAGGAGCTTATGATATAGTGAAGAGATTGATCATATCCAATTCCTGCTCTGTACCATCACTGAGGCAACTTGAGTCCCCCTTGATGCTCAATACCACCCTCCATTCCTTGGACTAGTATTAACCTGAATCAGGAGATAATTAGGCCTCCTGAGACCAACACTGGATCATGCTTGGCAACAACTTGTACCACTGGTTAGACTATCCCTCGTGTATCTTCTGACTGTAATGACCATGCTCTTGTTTCCCCATTCCTAGCCCCTGTGCCCTCATTCTTATAAGTGGGTCTGGTCCCTGCTTTGACTTCTCTTCCTGTTCTATGAACTGCTGGGACCACAGTTGGTTCCTAGTTCCTGGGTCTTCTGAACCTGTCTTGCCAGGCTCCCCATATGCCATAGCCTAAGGGCCTCCTGTCTTTTAAGATCTCTTTGATGTGGAATGCCTGCCTTCCTTCACTTCTGAGCCTCCTCCCACAGCATCTCCTACCCCACAAGATTTCACATCACTGAGATTTCCCACTAGGCTGTGGCCTTCCACCCAAACTCCTAACAGGGGCACTAGCTGCTAATGCTGCACCTATCACGGAAGCCACATTTGCTTGCCAATTTGAACTTCATTCATCTGCACCTGAGTCATCCTCTGGACTCCTATTCTGCTGCACTGAGCATGGCTAGATCTCAGACCTGACCCCTCTGTGCCTTGTAAAAATGACTGATGATGTTGAAAATGCCAACATATAACAATGGATGCCCAGGAATGACCTTTGTATAATGTGGGGTGAACGTGCCTAAGAGCTGGCAATTATGCCTCCATGTGCACAGCAGATGATAAACAGTAAAATGCTGAATGGGGTTATGTTGAAAATCAGTGTGCCGTGTCGCTCTGTGTGTTCTCAATCCGTTTCCTTCAATTCTTGCTGTCAAAAAAAAAAATTACAACCATTGCTTTTTATTTTTACACATCCACCCAGATACTTAGAAAATATCCCTCCCCAGGTGCTTAGCCTGTTCTCATGAAGTTAGAAAAGGCATTTGCAAATGTCCTTTACTGAGTAACTGAAGAAATTCCTGCAGTTGTATGACACCTCTCACATTTTACAAGAATTATCAAGATGAAGGGAAGATCAAAGACGTGAAGTGCTTTGGTTTTAACCTAGCATTTGGCCAAATATTTCATGATACCCATGTGAATGAATTAGAGAAGTATGACTTAAACAAAATCAGTTGGTTGAATAATAAAAGAATCCAAAGAGTCTTGACTACAGATCACTGTAAACTTGAAGGGAGGACTCTTTTCTAGTCAGTTACCACATATTTAAAGTGTAGGGAGTGTTCCAATATTTGATGTGAAAGATTATTTTGGTTGTGCATGAAAAATTTTTTAAAGAGTATTTACTGCGTTTAACATATACTAAGAAAATGAGTATTATCATATAAACTCATACTTGCATGAATCTTATTTAAGTTTAAAAATTGAGGAAATTCTAAAAAGAATATCTTAAATAAAATAGTAAAGGTAGTGCTATTTGGTTAATGTCTTTAGGGGTCACATAGGCAACATCACAATCCTAAATATAGTATCTTATAACCTAGCAATTTTGCTTTTAGAAATTTATCATGCCCAAGTACACAAAGAAACAATGTTCATTGCAGCTTTATTTCTAACAGCAAAATGCTAAAAACAGAACAAAAATCCTAACTGATTAAGTGACATCATTAGGAAATGGCTAAAGGTGTTATTGCATCTCCATGCAATGGCCCTTTTCCTTTTAAGCCAGTGATTCTCAATTGGGCACAGTTTTGCCCAATCTAGCAATGTCTGGAGATACTTTGGTTGTCACGACAGTGGAAGGTATGCTACAGTACCTAACAGGTAGAAGCCAGGGATGCTGCTAACCATCCCTCGATGTGCAAGACAGCCCTCCACAATGAAGTATATTCAGGGCAGAGATTTCTTGACTTATGATGGGATTACATCTCCATAAACCCATTGTAAATTGAAAATATTAGTGTTTATGAGAACACATGGACACAGGGAGGGGAAAATCACATCACACACCAGGGCCTGTTGGAGGGTCGGGCATAAGGGGAGGGAGAGCATTAGGACGAATACCTAATGCATGCGGGGCTTAAAACCAATGACAGAATGATGGATGCAGCAAACCACCATGGCACATGTGTATCTATGTAACAAACCTGCATGTTTGGCACATGTATCCCAGAAAACATTATTTTAAATTTTACTTTTAAGTAAAATTTTACTTAAAAGTAAAATTTAAAATAATGTTTTCATCTAACCATGATTTTATCAGGATGTAACTCCATCATGAATCAATGAACAAACTGACAACACCATTTTTTTTTTTTTTTGCATCGTTATAAAGTTGAAAAATCGTAGGTTGAATCATCAGAAGTCAGGGACCACCTGTACTGATAATTTAATAGTGCCAAGGGTGAGAGGCCCTGGTTCAAGCAGAATTGCTTTTTTGTGATCGTCATTGTTCTTATTCTTTTCATTCCAACAGAAGTTTGAAAGTGTGCTACTACTTAAACCCTTATAACACTAGATTTAAAAATTAAACTGTTTCATCTATTAAAAAGCAAGATCTTTTAGTGAAG